TAAAAGTGTACAGTCTCACACCAGTTAATAAGTCTGTGAAATTGCCCATTGATTACGCAAACCAACATCGGCCATTTTAGGACCAGCCAACCTGCAGTCAGTGATTAACAGGGGGGGTTTGTGAGGTATACCCTTTCTTGCCATTGCCTTGAGAGCAAACATGCATGTATGGGTGGGCCGTAAGCTGTCCTGTACCATTAATTTCTTGTGCTCCTAACCCTTAGGCATGGGTCCTGTCAGAAAAGGAATCAGCTCGCTAAGAGCACACCAAAGGCCGTTCTGAAGTGGCTCATCGGTCAGTAGGCAAGAGCTCATCCCCAAATTGACTGGACTGCCTATTATCGCCTGATCGGGTTGGGCCAAAGTTGTCGCCCCCTCTGCCGTGAGGTGCTGGCTCGAACGATCTTATCTTATTGTTGTCAACGGATGCCTCCCACCGACATGACCTCCACCGAGTGAGCGGATTATGATTGGAGTCAAGTAAACGACCAGACTGTGTGCGATAACGTGAAGTGTCCGGGCGGCACGCCTCATCAGCCGCTGTTCCATCTACGGTCGGTTCATTTTATCCGTATTCGGCCCATTAAGAATCGTCTAAAATTACATGGACGCTGGGATATTTAAACTGGCCACTATGGGTGCACGTCGTAGATCGAATGCCTCTACTAAAAGTCAATCTTGTTTGGTAAATTGGGGAGTATATTCTCATGGCTGTAGATGTGGTACTCACAAGAATACACATGCTTACCTGTCTTGACTGGCCTTTCAGCTTTTATCTAGGTTTCGCGCTGATTCAAGACTAGTTTGAATTGGAACAATGTGGCCTGCCACGTCGAAGCATGTCATGTGGGAATCTGAGTGGCCTGTGGGCAGAATTCGTTCACCTGAACCAAACTAGTGCTTCTGCACACTTATACAATGGAAGGCTGTTCCTGAGGCGAAACTAAAAATATGCAGCCTCACACCAAGTTAAGTAATCTATTAAAAATGCCCAACACAGGACATTTAAAGATTAACTTAGCCAGAAAGCTGGTGATCAGGCGGGGTTTGCGAGATATACCCATTCTTACTGTCCCCCCGATAGACCAATTGCATTTATGCATGTGTTATAAGTTGCAGTGAAGTACTATTTTCTTACGCTCCTACCGCTGGAGCATGGGTCCTGTTAGAAAAGGGATCAGTTCGCCAATAGCACGCCATAGGTCGGTCTGAAGTGGCTCATCGGTCAGTATGCAAGAACTCCCCCCCCAAAATTTGCTGGACTTCTTATTGCCACCTGATCGTGTTAGGCGAAATTTGACGCCCACCTTGGTCGTGAGGCGCTGGCTCAAACGATCACCTCTGAACGCTGTCATCTGAGGCCTACCACCGGCATGAACTCCTCCAAGTGCGCGGGGGTCAAGTAAACGGCTAGGCAAGGTGCAGTACACGTGATGTGTGGGGACGGCATGCTGCACCAGCTACTGTGCCATCTACGGTCGGTTCAACCCCGTCTACATGCCTCTTCAACTTAAAAAGCAGGAGAGGTGGAGGAGGGGGGGGGTTAGTTCTGTGTAATCTGTACTCACAATAATGAGTCTGGTAGTCGTTTACGCAGGCACAACACGTTAAGGGTTAGGTGGAGTTTATCATTAATTGTCGAACTGGCAAGGTTAAGAAACGCTATCCTGTTTTTAGGTGGAGAAACCCAAGTGCGTCAAATATGGGAATCGTGGGAGGAGGGGATATATGGGTTGGGCTGCGGGAAAACAATGAGAAATATGCGGAAACGCAGGCATTCTGGGTAAGTATGGTAGAGTATTTTAATGAGTACTAAATACTCAGCGTAAACAGCGCGCAATGCCAAAATTCACTGCAGCAACCACTAAAACCAGTGTCATGAGGAACAACGGTGACTGGCCCCTCAAGGTAATTGAAACACAAGCGTCCCAGGATTTGACCAATCAAGCGTAAGCCGTGTATGGGGGTTGTAGGAGGTGGGTGCCGAATGACTCCCTAACCATTTAACGAGCCCAGGTGTCAGTACGAAAGACGGCACAAGGAAAGTAAGGCTTTGGAAATTACTATGTACTCAACCGTTCTATGTACAGTAAGAGACTAAAGGGGAAACCTAATTACAAAGATAAACTGGGGCAAGATGAGATTGTCCAAGAGAGGTTGGCGGAGGCACAGGGATCCGGCGAAGACAGCGACAGAGGATCCACGTCCGAGTGTTGGCGGCCTGCCACGGAGTCGTCGGAAGTTAATCCTCGCCCGTATTTATAGGTTCGCCAGCTTCTGAAACCTTCTACAAGATGGCGGCACGTTGTCTGGCTTTCTAGAACTTCCTACAACCGTAAACACTAAACATTAGCCCTAACCCATTCACACGTTCATGGGCCGGTCAATGACTACTAAATCTGAATAAAGTCGACAGGTGTAATCGTAACCATAGGATTTTGTGTATAGTAACGGAACTTTCCTCACGTCAGATTTATCTGCATTATTTTCTACGATAGGAGAATATGTTAAGTTTCAGATCTTTCCTGAAATATCCTTGAATACTTCACGATTTTCAGTGTTTTCAGTTAAGTGCTTCAGTGTTATGATTTTGTGCCCGCTTTCGGTCCCTGAAGGTCGCGCTAATTGCTGATTCACGTGCGGACTTACTAGGTGAGTCTGGTCTGCGGGTTGGCGGTACTTTGTCAGGCCTAACAGCTTGACGACGAGAATGGCGCGTCATGTTCTGCGCCGCCCTAAAACCATCACACTTGAATGTTGTCACATGACGCCTTCCACCCACATGACCTCCGCCGAGTGGGCGAGGTGTGGTTGGGGTCAAGTAAACGGCTAGACTGTGCTGTGTCGGAGGCGGCATAGCTCATCAGCTGCTGTGTCAAGTGTCGTCTTCACCGGGGTCATCTCGATACAAATGCGAGACAGCAGAGAAAGAAGTGGACTGAGGATTGGTCTGCACAACCCTTCCCTATTCTACGTGATATGTTCGCAATATGAACAGCAGTAGCATGTGACATTTGAAAATAGCTATTTTGCCAATAGAGGTGGGTATCCGAGTTCTACGCTCCTGTCGACTCCCTTCTGCAGGCTACCATGCGCACCATAGGCATTCTGAGGAAACACTGACTGGGGAAAGGTGAGAAATCGGATTCACTTTATCAACTCTCACGCTATATGTGCCCTCGCCATTACACAATACAGACAGAAGGGCGACTTAACACACGAATACTTAAATAAAAGCGAGTTGTTCGGAGAGGATATCTGCTACTCCAAGTCGTTGTCTACGCCCCTAGAAGGCAGCCACGAATTCGTTTTCGTGAGGACGCGGATAATGACTTGTGACGACAATAAAACGGGGCCTCTGTCGCTGACAATAACTGCAAAAACGAGCGCACTAATAAACTTCTCCGCTAGCACGTGTTGTGCTTACGCGGCCAGATGGCATTGCCCAGGTCACAACCTTGGACACATAATCGGTCACCGCACCGTGAGACCCCTGCAGGTCAGACGGCATGAATACAACTCAACCACGGACACAGCGACTCTCCTCTGTGCATCTGCTCATCAACTGATGTAAACTCATCGTCTTCGAAAATGGTTTGAAATTACGGGGACGCTGGGATATTCGAAAACGCCGTCATGGATTCACATCGTAGATCTAATACCTCCATTTGAAGTTGATATCGTCAAGTAAATAGGGAGGGCTATTCTCGTGGCTGAAGAGTACACACGCTCAGTCGTCTTGACTGAAGTTTGGGTATTCATCAAGGTTTCGCGATGACCCAGGACTGGTCTGCACTGGAGCAATGTGGCCTGCCACGTCGAAGCCACGGGCGGAAGTCACCTGAAATAAACTGGTGTTTTTGCACACTTGTGCAATTAGAGGCTGTGTTTTAAGGCGAGACCAACAGTGTACAGTCTAGCGCCAAGTTAATTAATCTATTAAATATTCCCATTTAAATGTAAACCGACATAGGACATTTTACGACCAGCCTAACTACAGCCAATGACCTATCTAATGAGATGTTTACCGAAATTTTGAAATGCGTCTTCGATTAGGGATGATTACTCAGGCCGTGTTGTTTTGTTACTTATCATGCAGTATAATCCTTTGATAGTTCAGACTCGGTAGAATACACTGAATACACTGGATACACTTTTTGGCAGTCTAATGTACAAACCGCACTCGGTACAAAATGACTAATTATGCAGCGTGCATTTTTCGCATTGATTGTCGATGGCCCTACAAATTCAAATGTGTGTTATACAAGACATACACAAAAGATGCTCTTTTTTTACTCATTTCTTAGCCGACCACGTCGTATTAAAATCTTATACCCGAATGTTATATCCGTTTTTTAAAAAGTTTTCTATTTCCAGAATTGTTTTGAGCCAGATCAGCCGATGCATTAGCGTTTAGCGCTTTTAATCTTCAAGGTGCATCCTTTCCACATAAATAAAATGGGCTTTTCCTCTATGATAAGTATGTTGCATACTTCTTGAGGAGTATTTATTAAAGTACAGGTATGATGCTGTGGGAATAAACATCGTAGCGTCTTCGTAAACCTCATAATTAGTGACTTTTTTAAACCGAGGTGTACTCTTTCTTCGAGCACAAAATATAAAGATGATGTGCTTTTCTACCAAATGAGTAAAAGAGAGCATACGTTTGTATTTGACTTGCATAAAATATATTTGAACTTATAAGGCAATTGACACTCAATGTGAAAATGCATACTAAATAAGTAGTCATTTTTTTACTGTGGGCGGTTACTAAAGGAGGCCGAAAGGAGGGCAATCAAAATACAACATTTTGGCAAATCCGAAATATCATAGGATTATGCCGCGGGATGATAAGTAATACAACCCCATGAGATCCGTCATTCACTGTTGGTGGCTCCCAGTCAGGGGGAGGGGTTTGCGCCAGATAGCCTTTCTTGCTGTTACCTTGATAGTCAACATGCATGTATGCGCTACAGGGACACTTTGAGGAACTCCCTAAAATGACTGCAGATTCACCCCGAAACCTGGAAGGACCTCGTCCAGTACAGACCGGTATGAAGGAGAAACGTGAAGACCGGCGCAGACGTCTACAAAACAAATCGGATCGCCGTCGCTAAAGCCAAAAGGGAGACTCGCGAGTCACCAGTGCCTCAGCTCCTTAACGCCAGCAGTCAGCCGCTTCCAACGTGCTCACGCTACCAGCGAACATTCCTTGCGCGAATCGACCTCGTAGGACACTTTCGGGAACAATTCATAAACAACCCCGCAAAGTCAACTCGTCGTCCTCCTCCTTCTCGTCCTCCTCGTCCTCCTCCTCGTCCTCGTCCTCGTCCTCCTCGTCCTCCTCCTCCTCCTCCTCCCAAGAAGACCCCTATTATCAACCCTGTCGCAAACCCCCTGAAGACGACAACCCCCGTCACCGATGATCACACTGCTGCCTCCCCGCCCTGCCCCAACCCCTGCGTCAATCACAGCGACCAGTCCCGCCAACACCACGACATCTCGCATTCCCCACACCGAGCGGACAAGGGCCGACGTTCCATCATCTGCCACCATCACAGCCAGCATCCTCACATTAAGCAGACCAAACCCATCCCAACTGCCATCGAACTTTCACTCCAAATATTGGCCTGATCGGTAACTTGCTAATCCATCGCACAGAGACTGGTGAACCAGTGCCTGGGGCATCCACATACACTGCTTGAGGCCTTTGCCGCTGATAAAAATAAGATAAGAAGGCTTGTTTGTATACTTGCCTGCTATCACGTGTTGCGCTCACGCGACCAGATGGCGTTGCCCATGTCCCAAATATAGATGCACAAACGATCGCCGCACCGTGAGACCCCTGATAGTTAGACGTCATGAATCCGTCCCAACCACGGACACGGCGCCTCAACTCCCTACATTTCCTTCCCGGCACACTGTGAACCAACAAAACTGCTCACTTGTTGATGCACCTTCATCATCTCTGAAAATGAGCTTCCGTAGGGGTCCGAAAAATCGGACAAATACGACTGCCTTTCAGGTGATCGCGCATTCACGAGCCTGCTCGGTGTTCGCCTATTTTCCTGCAATCGGTGACTCATGTCCTCATAAGAAAACTGGCATAACTATATTGTGTAAATTCCATGCAAAATTGGCAAATAGCAAAAAATGCGCCACACTCTGTTGAGTAGAAACGATCGGAGAAGTGTTCTGCTACTAACATATGAATACCTTCATACTGTGTAGTCATATAAACTTCGTATGAGATTAGACCACGTCCTACCAAAGAATAAAGTAATGGGCGAATATAACACTAGAGGTCGGTCTGAAAAGCCCTCTTAGTCAGTAGGTGTGGTGCCCTCTTCAGTTATCTTGACTGAGTCTTTTCATATATTGGCAATAAGAGAGGAAGGCGTGACTTCTTCTTCTTCTTTTCCTTCCTCTAGTAAATTCAGCACTGGGACAGCAAGCAAAGAATGCTTGTCACCGAGGTTTGCCGACTGGATCAATTAGTCATGCCTCTGCGGTCAGGATCGGGCCCAAAAGATCACATGGCCCTTGAATGAAGGATGTGTGTTTGGGGTCAACAAAGCGGCTAGACAGTGTGTAGTGCACGTGATATGCGGGGGCGAAACGCTTCATCAGTTCTTGTGCTTGAGCTCATCTCCGGTCGTGTAAATTCATTGTAAATGCCAGCTCAATGACATCTATCTCATGAATGAATAATTGCAGTCCACGAAATTCTCCCAAATATCATTGGTCTGCTGTTGCCTATTTATGCGTTCTAAACTACAGGTTAAGAATATCTTTTAAAATGAGGACCTTCGTATCTGTAATTTGTTTATTCTTGCTAGTTGGGCTCTCCTGCAAATGTACGGGAACATCCAATGCTGATTTGTCCTTATATTTCATCCCCAATTTATGTTAACTACTGATCATGTTCATTTTCCTCCCTGAACTATGTGGTTTTAGCTTCGGACGAACCCGGTATCGTTAACCTTGACTGGGAGATTGAGGACGATCTTAGAGAACACGTGAACAAGATCAAGTCCTTGACCGGAATCAGCGGACGAAATTTCTGCGCATTTCGGGACTCAGCGTTGGCAATGTGAAGTACTGCAAGTACCGGGAAGATGCCGAGCATTTGAACATTACATTCACACTTATATGTGACCTGACATTTCGCAGCATCCAACTCGACATATTTTCTAACGTAAGCAGCGGCCTTGATGTTTCGTGTTTATGCATAGCACGCAGGCTCACGTAATGTGTGTTTATTTTAGAACCAGAAAAGTGTTAAGTTGTCTGAAATACTGAATAGGCAATGAAGTATTCCATATGGAAACACTTCTTAGTATGCACAGTTTGCGCATTTTAGAGCAGGGCTTCAATACGCCTACAATGCCAATTGCCCTACTCAATCGAGACCATACTTAGGGCATGAAATTTCACGCTTTCAATTTTCAGCTCCGCTACACAGTAAATAGGGAACTAATGCAAAGTTTTTCAAAAAAACACATGAAGTACTCGTGTTATTCACTGTTCTGTAACCAGTCTTGAATAATCTACTGTATGTGCTTATCTGTTGATTAATTTGCACAGAAGATGCCTTGGTAGCCTTTGGCTCATTTTCTTTGAAACGAATTGCTCCTTTGATATATTGCTAGCTCCCATGAACGGGCGTATACCAATCTATTGGCTTACCGAATCAAACGAATTCCTACGGTTGGCAGAAGTCACGAGCACGCGACCGACCTCCAGGTTCAAGTCCGGCCAAGTACGAGCGCATGTTTGCGTTTCTGGTTCCAGCTAGAGGTCAGGGTTATGATTGGTTGAATGGGGGCAGAATAAGCCGAACCAGTAGCCTACCATTCTACACGCATTCTCTGCATCTCCACCCCTCTGCGATATCTCTAGCTGTACTATTTGGAGAATTGGAGATGAAACATGCAGTTAATAGGAATGATAGGCTTTGTTACGAATAATTTTACCAAAGTCGCGTAATACATGCAATCTTACGCGTGAGGAAGCGAATATTCGTCAAGAAACCTAACCCAAAGCTGCAGATGTCGGTGTCGAAAATAAATACACAGAAAGGGTTTTCCAAGTCTGATACTTTAGTCGCACTGACGTCTTGCATTGGCAAAATTGAATCACTGCACTTCTTCTCTTACTGCAGGTCCGCGGTGTGGACGCCTACACAGCACCTACAAAGACCATTTATACCCGTGGGTACAAGGCCGACGCAATCGTCAGTGTTTACCATCTGACCTTCAAAATCAAGCAGCTCACTTTTCCACATTCTTTCAAAAAACGTTTTCCAAGGCTAGTGGAAAACGTAAAACTAAGGGAACGTCCCTCAGAAATAAAACGACTTTTTGAGTACATGTTTAATGACAATCAGACATTTTTCCGAGAATATGACACTATTTTTGTTCGAAATTAAACACATGACATTTATCATTATATTGTTTACTCCTTCCACCTCTGTCAACTCTGACAAGGCACACCTGACATTTGAGTCCGTTTGTATTGTTCAGCCTTGCGTCCCACTCCATAATGACAGGCAGAACTGGGTACCATTAGCGCAATTCTGTAAGATGTAAATGTTAAATTAAGTCTAATAAGGTATCGCTGTCACTGACCTGCCATCAGTTATTCGATCCTGAACTATATGCTGTAGTTATTGCAAACATGATCTACAGGGAGCGCAGCGGCCTACCAGATGCGTCAAGGTTTCGACAAATTGCCTGCAATGCTGTATGCTTTAGTAACTTATATTTGTTCGGGTCAGCAAAGTTGCGCGCGAAGCAATAAGTTCTTTTAGAAAAATCGACAATCCACCTCATAGCATCATTTGCTTTAAAGACTATCTCACTGGGGTTTTCAATGATAGAAAAGAGCCTATTTAATGTACAGTTTGTCAGTTGTTGCCGCAGGCTGTCTTTCTGTTCCAAAAAACAGCACAGTCACGATGACGCTAATTGGGTAGGCGGACGGGTTAAGAATAAGAGTTATTCTAAAACAAGGATAATGCTGTCAAATTAGGCCTCAGATGCGACTTGGGCAGGGGATGACCACTCATCAGCAACTTGTACGCATCACGCAAAAATGTCATCATAGTGGAGCAGAGGAACCAGCCAGAAGGTAGCAACGTTACTCTACATGTACACAGGTACTGCTTCGCTCTGTCGCATACTTTGTCGGTAATCACATTCTGCCTATATCATGCGCTGCTGTGAGACTGCTGGGGGAGTCGAGAGAGAGAGCCCGTAAGGCACAACGGAACGAGTTAGTTCCGTAAAAACGGTCGGTGGGCGCCCCTCTATCATTGTGCATTCCCGATCGAAACCGACAGGATAACGGGCCCGTGGTTAGTGGTTAGACGCGTTAGGCTTCTAATTAACAGGTCGCTAGTTCCAGCCTCAGGTGTTTCAGACTTCGGGGTTGGGTATGACTAGCTGACGACGGCTACTATGCTAGAAATGGTCATTCAAGTCTCCCTTGTCTTTGTCGGTAATAACATTCTACCCATTGCATAACTACAGGCATTAGAGCACCTTGTCCTATTTTCCTAGCGCAGTTAGATTTTAACACGGAAACATGATCTATGAAAGAACAGAAGAGTCATGTGTGCAAATATCCCAGCATCCTTTTACTCAAAACGCACAACCAGCGCATCTGAGACAAAATCGATGGAAAAAGGCTTTTTGGAGGCAAATTTAGGAATATTGCTGTGCGGCTGATAGCGAGGAATTCACGCTGTTACATTTGCGAAATCGCTTAATATTTAAAGAGGCATGTTGGGCTACTTTTGCGTACCTTAACTACTCTTGGGTGCATGGGGCTTGCTATGCATTTCGCTGCAGCTGCTGATCAGCTGATAGCTTAAGCAATTTATGGTGGTATTTTAATTTGTTGGAAACTGTAAATTTGCGCGTTCATCTTTGTCGAACTGCTTGAAATTGAGTAGAATTAATGCTGATATCTATTTCACAAAATGGACTGGATTCGCTTAGTCCTTGTGTGAATCGGTTTCAAAATTTAACAGCAGGTCTCATTGCATTCGGAAAGTTATTGGCCTTTCCTGGTCACTCCTGAGATATCGGAATGACTAGGCGGGCCGGGATTTGTCTGCAGCCATGCATGTAGAAAGTTAAATAATTAGTGGTACTTGGGCTCCCACCAATCTCGTCAGCAGATAAACTCGTCCCACTGTGTCTTGGGGCTCTTCCTCTCTCTCAAGCTCCATCCACAACAGCCAGGCGGCTTGAATGATAGGCAGAATGACATTATTGACAAAGACAAAGGAGGATTTAATGATCATTTCTGACTTGTTAGCTGTCATCAGCCTGCCATACTCAACTCCAGGTTTCTTCGCAATCCCTGAGGCTCTAACCCGCGATCTGTTGGATGGAAGTCCAACGCACTAACCATTGCGTCACGCACTCGTTGTCCTGTCGGTTGCGATCGAGTGTATTAACAGTGGTAGTGGGGCTCTCACCGATCGCGTAACGGGACACAATCGTCCCGGAGATGGCCATTCCAGTCTACCCTAGTCCTTTTCAGAAATGTCACTCTGCCGAATTGCCGATAGGCACCTTAGTTGTTGCTCTCTCATGATTGATCCATCGGCCTTTGTTGTCGGG